AATCCTTCACCATCTTGGTCCCCCTCTCCTGGACACACCCGTTTTTTAAATGCCCTGCTTAAAGTATTCCAGATGTGACCTGAGGTGCACTCGGAATAATAAGGAATCATGCTAGCATCCTGATTCAACTAGGCCTAGTGCAATGTGATAAGATTGTGATAATTATGTGATACATCATCCTTTCGCCTTCTGTATGCATGGTTAGGTGGGAGACCCACAGGTGGAAAGCTCCCAAATGGGGAATTCTAAGAATGGAGCGAAGCTGAGCTGAAGAAGAAGAGAAGAAGAAGAAGAGTTTGGATTTGATATCCCGCCTTTCACTCCCCTTCAGTAGTCTCAAACCGGCTAACATTCTCCTTTCCCTTCCTCCCCCACAACAAACACTCTGTGAGGTGAGTGGGGCTGAGAGACTTCAAAGAAGTGTGACTGGCCCAAGGTCACCCAGCAGCTGCATGTGGAGGAGCGGAGACGCGAACCCGGTTCCCCAGATTAGGAGACTACCGCTCTTAACCACTACACCACACTGGCTCTGGGATCTGCTGCGTCCCAAGGCACTCTCACAGCTGGCCATTGTTGGATTGAACCCAAGCCATTTTCTGCCCCCTATGAATGCCGTGGTGGTTACACTGCTGTGTAGGATTGCCCGTTGAAATAAATGGGCATAAGTGACTTGACCATTGACTTTGATCTGTGCAGAACACACACACACACACACACACACACACACACACGGGACTGCTGCCCCTGTTTGATTCCCCACCTCACCCCACTTTGCCATCCATCCCTCTTTACAGCTCGCCCAAGTTTCCCACCCCCTCAAAGCTCCTTCACTCCACACATCCCCTCATAGCTCCTCCAAGACCCCCATCCTCATGGTTTCTCTGTGTCTATCCATCCCTGCTTTATTCAAACCTCTGCTGCTGCTTAAAACCACTATTTTATAATCTGCCTTCTCTTTTTGGTCCCTTCCCCATGCAAATCCAGGTGACGCGGCACTACAAATCGTCCAATGGGGGCTGCACCATGACAGTCTTACATTTTTATGTATATAGGAATACCCGCACACACGCTTTCTCTCTCACACACAGAAAATCCACCACACTGCCAATTATAATCTTTTTCTGATTTATATTTGCACCATCTCCAAAAGAAAATCTGGTTGTCCTATCTGGACCAAGGGAGTGGGGGTGGGGGACAAAGAGAGAGCTGAACGTACAGCAAGTAAAGCAATCACAGCAAAGCCCAGTGTTTTCTTGCATAGGACATCAATGAAGGCCAAAGCAGATTTCATGAGGAGCTGTCTAAAAGCTTTGCTTGTCATTCTAAAGGGTCTATGGCAGCTGAAGTGCTAGTAATTTTGCCTTTAGCTGCTTCCCATTTGAATCACTGCAGTGAGTTTTTTCTTGAAAGTCCTATGCTGAAGGGTATTAATGATGCAACAAAGTGACTGGTGTTCCGAGGATGTATCTATCTATTTATTTTTATGAGTGTGGTTAATTGCACATTTTTCTTAAGATTCTAATTACAACCTGCTCTAAAAGTGATGCCTAGTTGTTTAAAGATGCATTTTTATACTTAATATGCTACATTATTATTAGTTATACTGCAGATAGTTCACTAAGAAATAGTGCCGGGATGTGAGAGGGGATTAGAAATCACATTACTAATACAGGAGCTTGTCTGCATAGGAAAAAGGGAAAATAAATAAAGCACTCCACACATGATAAGAGCTCCTTCAATTTCTTTCACAAATCTCGTTTTATTAGAATCTAAATGTCACTCTCATAAAAAGATGGAGTTGGCAGCACAGTCTGATTGGGATTGTTTTTAACTGTCCATTTTGCATTCAACATCTGTAGAAGTCTCCGTGCTTCACTGGGAGGCAAAGAGGACTGGCCCAAGACCTTTTGCTGCCTGAGGCAAAGGACAAGATGGCACCCCTCCCTGTTCCAATAATAGAAGCCTGGTGATGGAATAATAATAATAATAAAATTTAATTTATATCCCACCCTCCCCAGCCAAATCCGGGCTCAGAGCGGCTAACAACAATAAAAGTAACACAACATTCTAAAATCAATTTATTTTAAAATCAATTCAAAATTAAATTAAATTAATGGCAAATTAATACCAAAGGAGGGGGTCAGGCTGTGCCTTGGCCAAAGTCCTGGTGGAACAGCTTTGTCTTGCATGCCCTGCGGAAAGATGTCAAGTCCCGCAGGACCCTAGTCTCTTGTGACAGAGCGTTCCACCAGATCGGGGCCACAGCCAAAAAAGCCCTGGCTCTGGCAATGGAATAATATTTTCCATTGTACCTGAGGCAACAGGGGGCCAAGGACAGCTCTCTTGTTTAACATGAAGAATAGTTAGGGGCCACTGCCACCTCACCCCATTTACATGTGTTATCTGGACTTGCCACACTCAGCCTAATGGTAGGACCCAGGGCTTTTTTTAGCTGGAACTCACAGGAACTCAGTGCCGGCACCTCTCAGGTGGGTGCCACTGCCATTATAAGAGAACAAGGGAGGTGTTCATTGTGAGTTCCAGCACCTCTTTTTCCAGAAAAATAGCACAGATGATGGCCATTTGAACAGTTGCCACATGGAAGATGGAGAGAATTTGTTTTCTCCTGCTGCAGAGGCTAGGACCAGAACCCATAGCTTCAAGTCACAAAAAAGGAGATTCTGACTAAACATCAGGAAGAACTTTCTGATAGTAAGAACATTCATGGTGAGTTCTAGAAAAATAGCACTGGTAGGGCTAGGTTTGGAGGAAGACTACAGACAGGGAATTAACAATGAGACAATGAAAATTTTACAAGCCATGAAGCTAATTAGGTGACCTTGGGCCAGTCACTATCTCTTAGCCTAACCTACCTCACAGGGTGGTTGTGAGGAGGAAGAGAACCAAGTATACCACCTTGAGCTCCTTGGAAGATAAAGGTGATACACAAATGTAACTAATAAATACACTGACTGACAGTGGCTTTCTGGAATTTCAGGCACAAGTCTCTCCCAACCTAGCTGGTGATGGTGGGAATTGAACCTGGGACCTTCTGCTTGCAAGGCAGATGCTCTACCACTGAGCTAATCCTTCCTGCCATCATCTTTTTCCACTATCCTGTTTTCTTCTTCTTTGGCGATCACTCGTAGCCGAGTAAGATTGTCTTCCATAAACATGGTTTTAACAATGAGTCCGTAAGTGACTGTGGAGGCCAATTCTGGATCCACATGTCCTTCCACAGTGGGGACATTGGTTTCTGGGTGGGAGCTGATTATGGTGTGGATTTGCCAAGTGTGCCTTCTTCTTTGCACGTTTCTCCCTTGCATCCTGAGTTTGAGTATCTTCAAAGCCCATGACACCTTTGGTTAAGGCTGTTCTCCAATTAGAGCGCTTGCAGGCAAGTGTTTCCCAACTGCTGGTGTTTATTTTTTAGATTTGCCTTGAGACAGTCTTTAAACCTCTTTTGTTGACCACCAGCATTACTCTTTCCATTTTAAGTTCAGAATAGAGTAGTTGCTTTGGAAGATGATAATCAGGCATCTGCACAACATGTCCAGTTCAACAAAGTAGATGTTGAAGAATCACTGGTGATCTTTGCTTCTTCCAGTACACTGGTATTAGTTCGCCTGTCTTCCCAAGTGATGTGTACAATTTTTTGGAGACACCGGTGATGGAATATTTTGATGAGTTGGAGATGATGTTTATAAGTGGTCCATGTTTCACAAGGAGACAGTAAGGTTGGTAGTACAATAGCTTTGTAAACAAGCATTTTGGTTTCCCTGCAAATGTCCCAGTCCTAAAACACTCTGCACTTCAATCGGGAGAAAGCCACACTCGCAGAGCTCAGGTGATGCTGGATTTCGACATCAATGTCGGCCATTGTGGAGAGATAAGTGCCCAGGTAGGAGAAGTGATTGACATTCTCCAACGTTACACCATTGAGTTGGATTTGTGGCACTGCAGAGGGGTTATTTTGTACTTGTGGGTGCAGCACTTTGGTTCTACACAGTGGCCAACCAGGTGTTCTCAAGAAGCCCATGCACAAAGGCAATAGCCCTCCCTTCGCTGGTATCCTTGGCTTAGAGAGCAATTGAGAAGAGAAGAATGGGCACTTTTGAAAACATGAAAGTACTTCACACCTGAATTTTAATAGATCCCCCCCCAATTGGATCAGATCAAAGCAATGACAAAAGAACACATTAGAGATGTTTCATTACCACCATGGTCTTGACTCTACCTTGCTGGTTTCTATTAAAATAAACAGGCAGTGCTTTCTGACTGTAGGTTTTTCAGATGTTCGCTAAAATGATAGCCCTTGGTGCATAGACAACAGCTGGGGCAGCACATGTGGACTCCTGTTTTGTTTTGCTTTTAATGCAGTGATTCTGCTGATCTGATGTTTCATAGGAGGTGGGAGGAAATAAACCCCCTCTGCTCCCACTTTGTGATTTATTTTTAACAGGGCTCGGTGTTTACAGCCCTGGCAGATGGGTGTGCAAAGCAGCAACATCAATGTGTTCATGTGGTTGCTTTTACAGCTAGGGAAATGTGCTTATATTCTCCTTGCAGGATTGGGGGACATAAATTATATCAGAGGTGGAAAACCTTCTTCAAGCCAAGGGCTGCATTGCTTTTGTGGTAACCTTCCTGGTGTGGTGGTTGGGATTGGAGGCAAAAGTGGATGTAACTATTACCTTTGTATGACAGGCAAGGTTCTGCACATATTCTTTCTATCTCCCATCCAGACAAGCAAGAGGCATAATCAGAGTTGAAGGACACCTTGGAGCCAGGCAAAAACACTCAAGGAGGGTGCAAGCAGAGCCTGCAAGAGGTGTTACCTAGGGAGAGGATATGTGGCTGGGGAAGAGTCTTGAGGACCAGAGAGAGGGGCCTAGAAGGACCCATTTGGATCCTAGAGTTGAGGTTCCCCACCCCACCCCACCCCTGCCTGGAATGGCCACTTGGCAGAGCAAGTCTGTATGATCCTTACTACGCTGATGGCAGCTCCTTTGGTAGAGCATGAGACTCTTAGTCTCGAGATTGTGGGTTCGAGCTCCATGTTGGGCAAAAGATCCCCGTACTGTAGGGGGTTGGACTAGATGACCCTCATGGTCCCTTCCAACTCTACAATTCTATGATTCTATTGTTCTGTTGCCCTCCCTCCCACCCTCCCACCCACCCACCAAACACATTTATTACATGATCTCTGTTTGACCAGTATCATACAGCAAAGAAGTCCCTGTAAGTAACACAAATGCTGGTGAAGAAGAAATAATGGAAGCAAACCCAGACCAACAATGTGCAAAAGAGTAGTGGGTTTCTTTCTTTCTTTCTTTCTTTCTTTCTTTCTTTCTTTCTTTCTTTCTTTCTTTTCTTGCAGGCCCTTACATGAAGTTCAAAACAGAAACCTTTACACCGAAAGTAAGCATTGCAAACACAAAGGCACAACACCAATACCGCAACCAGCATTAGTGAAATGTTATGTGTGCATATTCAGAAATAATCCCTGTTGAATGCAATGGGTCTTACACCCAGGTAAATGTGCATGCACAGGATTACACAGCACATGTTATATCTTGATACGCTTTGTGTATGTTGCTTCCAGCTGCAGCTACTTAGAGATTCTATTTGCAGAGGCTAATGGCAGGGAAAGTGGTCCAGATGTTGGCTGTTGGGGCAAAATAAGAACACAAGCAAAGTGCTGATGGATAAAGGTCCATACAGTTCAACTTCTTCTTCTCAGAATGGCCAACCAAATGCCTGCAGGAAGCCCACAAAGAGGACCTGAGCACAACAGCATCCTTCTCACTTGTGATTTCCAGCAACTGCTATTCAGAGTCATTCTGCCTCAGAAATAAACTTCCAATCCCTCTGTTACTGTCTAGGAATCAAGGAATGATAGCTCTGGAGCCTATCATGTTTGGCTGTCCCTGTAATGCTAGAATTGTAGCCAGAGAGCACATAGGCATGTTCTGCCTTTTCTCCAATTAGACAAAGGACAAACTATACATTACAAATACTAGCAATATATGGCTTGACATTTAAAAACAAAGGTTCTTAAGTATCTCATTATGGAGGACACTGAAAGATGTCCAATACAAGGTTATCTTTGAGGTGGCATTTTGCTCCATATAAACTTAATAGGATTTCTAAGACTGCATTCCACGAATGTTCGGGATGCCAGTTAATCAATGCAGATTTTATGTATCTTTGGCAGGTATGCAAGGTTGTGGAGGATTATTGAAGGAAATTCTGAAGATAATGTGTTGTGTGGCTGATAACAGGATATCCTGAGGTTGGTTGACATTTCTGAATTATTTCAAGGACTCCATTTAATTTAGAAACAAATCCCTTTTTCAAAATTTAATTAAGCTTCCAAATATTGTTTTGGTTCTTTACGGGGATCTCCCTAAGGTTTTGTCAAATATTGGAATGGCCAAGAAAAAAGGTTTGGACTTGTCTGGGATGAGGAAATTGAACTTCAGTGATAACACCCAGGGAAGGGCTTCGTATGGTGAACATCTTTGTGGACAGATGGAAGATACTGGTGAATTATAATCATCACTATAAAAATATTCATTTTGGTGTTTGCAATTCTGTAATGGAACTGGAAGAATAAAAAAATATAGCTGCTGTTATCTGTTCGTGAAAGCTAATTCTGTATGCCTATGACATATAGAAACTCCGTGAAATGTGGATTGGTTCAGGTAAAAATCTCCTAAGGGTTTCTTAAAGCGGCTTAATTCCACATCATAATCTATCTCTGTTTTGGCCATTTGTCAGATTCCTGGGGCTCAGTTGGAGACTCCTTCTCCCTCTTCTTATCCTGTGACTGCAGGGGATCACTAGATAAGCCAAATTAGACAGCTACATAGTTGTTCTAGCTTCACAGCGAAGACTAAAACCACCCTAAAATACCCCCCACCAAACAGCCACCCCAGTATCTGCTTCCATTTACATGGAAGCTCCATTCTGTGGAGCAAATCCCTGTTTGAGATACGACAGGCACATATTAGCTGTGATTTCTGGAAACACTTGAAGACTGAAGATGGTAGGGAGAGCTTTCATTCGGTATTCCAAGCAGCAAACCAGCCACTCTTCAGAATACTCCATTTCCTTCCCTTCTGTCTCCTGAGTTTCCATCCCCAACCCACAATACTGAGGCCCAATCTGTCCTATGCAGAACTCTAAGAAGTATCATATGACTTTAAAATGGCTTGGCTTTCCCCAAAAGAGTCCTGGAAACTAAAGTTTGTTAATGGAGCAGAGAGCTGTGAGGAGACTCGTTTTTCCTTCAGAAAGCTACAGTCTCCAAACCACTTTGGGAATTGTAGTTCTGTGAGGGGAATAACAACTCTCAGGACCCTTAACAAGCAGCATTTCCCATGATTCTTTAGGGAAAATCTATGACTTTTTAAACGTGGAATCCATGACATTGTTTTAAATATATAATGCAGATGGGGCCTTGGGCCTCATTGGTCTGTTCTTGAATCTTCGCACCTTCAGTTAGGATATGTGGAGTCTTCTTTCCAGAACTCCCTTCTGCAATAAAATTCTTCCCCATTGTTTCCGGAGCTTGACAAGTCTCCATCAAAAATGTCACCCCTCTTTCCAGCAGCTATAAAACTTCTAAAACTCCGAGACACTTGGGAAACGGTTCACAGAAGGCAACCTGCTACAAAGAGAAAGCGGAACTCAAACACCTTGTCATTTAAACTTTCTTTTCAGACATTTGTCCACATTTTCCCTCTTTCCTTTTGTCGAAAAAGCTCCAGGCAATGTGTTTTTAGAACTTTTCTCCTTCAGAAATGTCGCACGCCAGCAACTGAATGGCCATCAGGAGGTGGGGGAGGGGAAAGAAGGAAGCAATGGGCACCGACTTGCCTAAAAAAAATCCTGTTGTTTGTTTTATTTGTTAAAGCTTCACTATGGAACTCATTTTCCCCGAAAAACAAATCCCAATTCAGAAATGCCTGTGAGGCTGCATTCACACGACACTGATATCCCTGATTTTCCCCAAACTTTGATTTCCACATTATATTTGAGCTTTTACATGACGTAAAAGCCACTTTCGGAAATATAGCACTCATTTCCATGTTATTTGCTTCCAGGAAAAAACAACAGTTTTCGAATAACGTGGAAATGACCACTAAACTTACACTATATTTTGCTGTGTTTCTGGAAGTGCCTCTTATGTCATTTTGAAAGTTCAGAAAGAATGAGGAATTAACATTTGTGGAAACACCGGGAATACGGGATAAAGTGTCATGTGACTGTAGCCTAAGAAACTAACACCAATGCCAGAAGCTTCCATTTGCAGATCCCAGGGATTGAAATGGAGGTCTTCTGGCTATAAAACAAGTGTTCCAACACTGAACTGTGATCCTCCCCTGTCATATACACACCACGCACTGAAATTATTGGCTTCATTATGATAAGCATGAAGACAAACTTGCCCACAAATATTGACAGAACCCTGAATCAGCAGGCTGTCCTTTGAAACCCCTGGAGCCATACTAAGTAATAACTGAGAAATATATGCATTTGAGAGACAAAATCCTAGGTTGGGGATATTAGGGGGAAAATTTTATCACCATGAAAGTGAGCATTTAAATATTACTTTTACTCTCAGAGTCAAGTATCATAGAAAACAGCTTGACATCTCAGGCTATTGTGTGAGCATAACTTTTGTAACAAAAGAACCTCACCAGTATCCTTCCAATTGATTTCTCCCCCTTTGAGCAGCTGAAGTGGAAGCAAGATTAAAGGTGGCAGTTATTGTTCCTTCTCCTCCAGAGTCAATTCTGATTACTTTTGGACAGCTTTTGAATACTCGCTTACAACTTTTGGGTTCCGCTAATGGCAAGCGTGAATATTTTTGAATAACAAAGGTTGACAAAAGCTACTCATATATTCCTTGGTGTCAAAATACATTTACGATAACGTAACTCTGCAAAGGAAATTAATACCCTCAGACATTTTTTTCCTCTCTTCACTCATGTCATGACAAAGACAAGTTCCCCATGTAGAATGGTCTCTCTGTTTGTGTGTGAGAGAGAGATGTCTGCCTGTCCACTTCACAGCCCTACAACAATGGAACTAAGGTGAGTCCAGACAGCCTATCTTCCACCGTCAGATGAAAATCATTGTTTGTTGTGAGATGTATTCGGAATGGTTGTCTGTACCCGAGCACTATACTTCTGAGCATATCATATGTACATGACAAAGCACAACCTATCTATTTATGATTAGTTTAGAAAAAAGCTATTTTATAGTCTGTATTGTTGGGATGTCATCTGTCAAGGCAGTAAACTTTCTTGTGGTATAAAATGTCACTGTCCTCTTTATTCTGTCTCCAAACATTTTAGCAACTGAGAAAAAGCACCAGAATAAACTGTCTCCCAGAAGAGTGCATTTTGTGATAAGAGAAAGCACAGAGCTCAGCTCACAGACCATCTTGGCAGTGAGTTCTGGAAGACCTACTGCCTATCTTGCAGGCCTTTTTCCACTTGGCCCTGACTGACTCCAACTACAAAAGCTGAGGCTGCTGAAATGACTCTTTTTGTGTTGTTTGGTGAAGGTTGTTTGGGGGAGGAGTTGCTATTGTTGATTTTATGTATCTTTCTTTTAGATCTTATGATTTATCAGTTAAGTTGTGTTTTTTTCTGTCTTTTAATTATTGTATGTGGCTACTTTTGTTATGTTGCAGCTCTGTATTTTTTTTTATGTTGTAAGCCACCTTGAGCATGGTTTGAAGTGTGGAAAGGCAGCATTCAAATAACAAATAACACATATGAGCTTATTGCTACAACAACTACCAAGATGGAATTAGCAAAGCTTCTGGAACAATTCACCTTTGGTTCAGCACAATATCACTATCTCTTGCAGGAGCAAAGGCTGTAGTTTAACTATGTGCTGTGTGAAGAAGTATTTTCTTTTGTCTGTTATGAGTCTTCCAAAATTTGGCTTCATTATATGTCCATGTGTTACCGTCTTATGAGAGAGGGAGAAGAAACTTTTGGACTTCTCCTTCCTCTGTGGTTTTGAAGGAATAAAACTCCCGGTTC